AATGACATTAGGTCCAGGTTTGAATCCTCTTCCTAGCATTGTGTCTTTGAGCAAGTTACTTAGTCTCAGTTTCCTCAATTGTAAAATGAAAATGTTGCTCAGGTTTATTGGAAGGACTTACTAAGATAATGTGTGCCTGCCATAAAGTGGACAGCCATTGTGTTCTTTTCCTGTACCTTGTTGGTTTGTTAATTAGTGTTTATATCAAGGGGAGAACAGAAGAAAGATGAAGTAGTCAAAATGTGTCCAGTTTTAAAAAGAGAAGAAATTTGCACTATTTTTATTTTAAACAAGTAGGCATGGTGTGTCTGTCCACATTACTATGGATAAAGAAAAAAGTTTATTTCTCATAAAGAATTTTCAAAAAATATGAGATCAAGTTAGATTACCTTTGCCTTTCACTGATTTTAACTTGTGAAGTTGGAGGTTCTTATCGGGCTTCTTGACTTCCCAGTGATCTTGCAAGTGATCTGTTGTGATAAGTGTAAGGAGACCTGGGACAAAAAACTGTGATGGGGAGCCAGTTGGGATGAATTAAAAGATGAACACCATGGAAAGCCAACCTTTCTCACTTGTAGCATTGATATTTTAAGTGAGTTTTCCTTTTCCTGTGAATGTGATTGTTATTGGCTTTGTTTAAACACTAAATTTAAGCTCATTTGGTTCTTTTGGAGTGGCAATTCCAGTAAATAAATAAAATTTTATTATATATCTATATATATCTGTATATATATAGAAGGTCTTTCTTCCTGTCTTTCTATAGTTCTATATTTCTGTTCCTTCCCTTCATACCACAACTTTTAATTCATCTGTAAATCTAATCAAGGCTTGGTTCCCCCCCCCCCCCAGGAATATTCTCAGCTCTTCATTTCTCCAGTACTTCTATGGTAGCAATTATAACACTTGATTTTAAATTATTTCAGGCCAGGTACAAGAGCTTACTCTTATAATCCCTGCACTTGAGGAGGGCCAAGGCCCTCAGGATTGCTTGAGGCCAAGACTTCACGATCAGCCTGAGCAATAGAGTGAGACCTCATCTCTACCAAAAGAAAAAAATTAGCCAAACATGGTCACACAGGCCTGTAATCCTAGCTACTCAAGAAGATCACTTGAGCCCAGGAGCTCAAGGTTACAGTGAGCTATGGTCATGCCACTGTACTCTAGCCTGGATGACAGAGAAGATCCTGTCTCTAAAAAAAAAAAAAAAAATTATTTCAGTTTGAGTGTTCATGTGCACATACACACTCCTTAATCTGAAGTATGATTTATTCATACTACCACCATTTTGGGGTATCTAACTGTATACCAGGTATATATACATTATTCTCAGAGTACAAAAAAGAAAAAGACAGGAAGCCTCTTAGGGAGCTGAAGTTTGGAAACTGGTTAAATATGATGTAGTAAACACAATAATATAAAGAAAACAAGGTATAATATAATACATCAGGTGAAGGAAGCAAACTTGAAGGAAATTATACATTCTCCTTCAGTTGATTTTTCTTACTTTAAAAGATCTCTTCCGGGTATCTGTATTCAGAAAAAAAATTTTAAAAGATAATAAAGAAAAACAAAAAGAGCACTATGTTGACTCTAAACACAATAGAAAACATCTTAATACTCTCATTGAAACAGTATTTTTAAACCATGTTTTGGGGTTTTTGAAACAGAATACCCTCTAATTTGCTTAAGACTGACTACCATATTGGTATCTTTATTGTAAATCTGTCTATTTAAAGCAAAGCTTCTCAAACTTTAGTGTCTATCAGAATCACCTGGAGAGTTTGTTAAACTAGATTACCTGGCCCTATCCCAAGAGTGAGTAATTCTGTAAGTCTAGGATAAGTCCAAATATTTACATTTCTAACAAGTTCCAAAGTGACACCCATGCTTCTAGTCCAGGGACTGCATTTTGAGAATTAATTTATCTGAACTTAAAATTTTTTAATGGCTTCCCAATGTGAACCTAGTATGAATAGCTTCCTAAGTGTTTCAAATCTTATTACTGTTAGTATGTATCTGAGCTCCTATGGTCCAAGCACTGTATTCACTTCTTCACAGAGGTGAAGGTAAGGAACCTCCCTTAAGGAGCTCAGTGTAATAGGATCAACAGTGGTAATATTATTGCAGTAAAAGTAACCACTGTCATGTATTGAGTGCTCAGTGTGCCAAATATTATTTAAACTCATTTAATCCTCACAGGAGTTTTATGGATTAGGCCATAATAATCTTTATTTTAGATGAAAAACAGGTCGAGAAAGGTTAGTTTCCCAGAATTCACACAGTGAGTATATGGAAGAGCCAGAATTTGTTATTATGCCTTCTTTCCTTATATTAAAAGTTTGTGAAGATTGGTGGACCACAGGAGGGATGGACTAATTGGCTCTACCTTAGGAAGTGAGACAGCATCACAGAAGAGATTACACTGGAACAACTTAAAGAATGAGTGAAAGATAGCCATATGAATTGAAACTATGAGCATTTCCAGCTGAGGGAGTAGTTTCTTCAAAGCCAAGGAAACCTTGAGAAAACATATGTTCCACAGACTGTAAATAGAAGAGCATAACACAATAGGCCAGATGGAGTATAAGAGGAAAAGAGACCATATAAAGCGAGGTCAAGGTCATGAAGAATTTTGTATACCAGGTTAAGAAATTTTTAAGAAAGAATTAGTTCTTTGTATTCTTTCTCCTTTCATCTCTGTAAGCCAGTGGTTCTCAAAGCATGATTAGATAGCAGAATTAGCATCATCTGGGAACTTGTTAGATATGCACATTCCTGGATCCCACCCCATACCTGCTGACTAAGAAACTCCTAAATGGAGCCCAGCAATCTGTGTTTTAACAAGACCTCCAGATGACTCTGGTGCATGCTAAAGGTTGAGACCACTGCAGTAAGTTGTTAAATTCTTGAATAACAGCCTTCAAAATAGTCAAAGATCACTGTGGTGATAGTAATTTTTTTTTACTTAAGCCCCAGTGTGATAGTAACTATAGTGATAGTAATTAGCTCTGTAACTGATTTAATTCTGTTAGAGTATAGTACTCAACAAAGTTGAAATATTAATGCCTTTTAAGGTATACATATCTTCAATGATCCATTTATACCTTGCAAACCTGTTTCCTCTGTTGCCATAAAGGAGGTCTGTGTCAGGACAAGAGTTTGTTAAATCAGCATTCAAAGAATAGCATGCTAATTATTCTTCCTTAGCTATGGAAATGATTTGGAAACTTGCTTACTGATATTAGTTACCTAAAAAAAAAAGAAAGAAACAATAAACCCTCTTAAGATTTTTTCCCCCACGTGTTTATTAATATGTAAAACTGGTATATAACAGTTAGCATTTAAGGTGTTTTATTTGAACCGAGCGTGTTGAAGGAATCAAATGTATTTGTCACAAAATGACTTAAAGTGATTAAATCTTTCATTGCCATAGAAATAGAAACAAGGTATAATCTAGGATTCTCAAGCAAACTTGAAATATGCCTATCATTATTTTTTTGTTGTTGTTGTTACCAAAATGTGTTCTGTATTTGTGGTGAATATATCTACATAGTATCTGGCACTGAACTTTACACCAAAGTCTTATGGTTTATGTAGTGGTTCTATAGTTTATAATTATATATAGTCCTACTTTACACAACTTTATAAGCATTTATAGCCCAACATATATGAAGTATTTATTAATTATTTATATATCCGTTGTAGTTTATTAGATATACAGAGACCCTTTTCATCTTAGAAATAATAGCAGCAAGAAGTGAAGTAGTATGGTATAATTAATGTTGGTTAATACTCAAATAAACAGACTTAATGTTTTCCGTGTAATGATGCAGGGTTTCAGGGATTTAGAAGTGGAAAGTCTGTTGAGACATTGATACCAACCCCTTCATTTTACAGATGGGGAAACTGAGTTAAATAGGTGATTTGCTGATGTCACACAGATAGTGAGTAGCAGAGCCAGGATTATAACCAAGTCTGCTTGGAGTACAATGTAAAAGACAAACTACATAGGACAGGATATTTCTGATCTCCATTCCCATATATCGTAAAATAGTCTTCAGCACCAAAATCTTATCAGGTGGAGTATACTTTATAAAGATTATTAATGTTTTATATAAAAAAATTCTTTTAAAGACCTCTTTTTATATTGATACAGTCGGCTCAAGTATCAGATGTTTCTTTACAAGAGCAATTTAAAAAGCCTAGTAACTCTTTCAAAATTTACAAAAATACCAAGTAAAGAATATAGATTCTTGCCATTCCTTACTACTTAACACATGGGAGAAGCATCAGAGAGGACAATTATTCAACCTTTATGTATAATTATCATACAACTGCTAAGATGATACTTGAACTTGGGATATACTTACTGGCTAGTCTCCTTCAAATTATTTCCAGTAAAAACTGGTCCAAACCCACATACCTTATTAGTTTTTGCCAGCAAGTAGCCTACAATCAAAGCATGCAGGTATGCCAGAATGTTGAGTTTCTTGTTAACCAACCCTGCCCAAAAGCCCTCTGAATCAGTTTTAGAAGCCAGTTTTAAAAATTTAAAAAAACCAGATGTTAAAATATAAAAATTACAAAGAAAAACCATCTAAATTGTATGCAATAAGTAGAATTTCCACATGAAAGGCAATTAGAATATACAGTTGGTTAATGAAGAAGTTCAAGAGAGATGGAGAGGGCACTGCTCATTTAAAATACATCCTTTTAAGACCACTGAATTGAGAACTTCTGTATAAAATTGGGAGTTAGTTTTAAAGTAGCATATGTATATCATAGGCAAATTAGTAATGTTGGAACTACAAAGGATTTTTTAGGAGACCTTCATTTTAAAAACGAGCTGAGTACTGCATTGTGAGAATAGACTGAAGCTATTTTAAATTACTATATTTGGTTTTAAGTAAGACACAAATGTATTTTACATTATTTGAAGAATTGGAAGGGAAGTTAAATTATTTTAGAATAATTTAATGAAATATTCTAATTTTTTCCAGTGCATCTGGGGGAGGTGTTGTAGCCATTGACAACAAAATAGAACAAGCAATGGTAAGTAAGTTTATGGTTCTCCCATTTCATAGATTGTTGGTTGTATGAAACACTTAGTTCTTCTGAATTCTAAAAAACAAAATTTTTTTAAACCAAAGATGACCAAAGTTTATTTTTTGATAATGAGATTTAGTTGAAGATGCTAGAACATTGAGAACTTTTAGTCTAGAATGGAGTAAATATTTCTCCCATTTGACCATCCCACATTTCATGCATTACCATTGAAGGGGCAGGGGGAGCATACATAATTAAATGTAATATGTTCCCAAAATATTTCAATATTGAAAATAGTTTATAGACAAAAAGAGTATTAAAGTGAAAACTTCAGCTGGAAATCTGATTCCAGTTTCTTATGTACGATATAAATAGGAACTGTTAGTCTTAAACTAAAGCCTAAGATTTTAAAGTCAGAAATTATAAGTCAAGGTTAGTCTGAGTGCAGTGGTGTTTACAACTAATTGATCACAACCAGTTACAGATTCCTTTGTTCCTTCTCCACTCCCACTGCTTCACTTTACCAGACCAGTAAAAAAAAAAAAAAAAGAACAATAATAATAATAATAAAGAAATTACAAGTCACTTCAGTACTATGACTAGTTTAATGTCAGACAACTTTCCATTGGAGTATTACTCTTTGTTCTCTTGATCTAACATCTAAGCATGTGACTTTAAATTTATTTTTTTTAAATTCTAAGCTTATAACTGACAATGTGAAGAGCTAATATTTTTGGAAATTCCAAACTCTGAAAAGAAAATCGTGGCCTTGCTCCTCTAGTTGGTAACTGGATTTCTTTCACCCCATCTCTCTTAGGCTCAAAGATATAGCAGAAACATTGAAAAGCAAGAGCAGGAAAATTAATACACCTTGTGTTTATAAGGCACCAAAGTAGGCCAGAACCAAATAGCTCTAACTTTCCCTTTCACTCTTTTTTTTTGACATTCCTAATTTTGTTTTTCACAGGATCTGGTGAAAAGCCATTTGATGTATGCAGTAAGAGAAGAAGTGGAAGTTTTAAAGGAACAAATAAAAGAATTAGTTGAAAGAAACTCTTTACTTGAACGAGAAAATGCACTCTTAAAATCTCTTTCAAACAATGATCAATTATCCCAACTCCCGGCCCAACAGGCCAATCCTGGTAGCACTTCTCAACAGCAAGCAGTGATAGCACAGCCTCCGCAGCCAACGCAACCTCCACAGCAGCCGAATGTCTCCTCAGCATAAAGCTTTCTTAAGCCTCATTAAGAAAAAACTGAAAGCAATCTATCCTTGTGTGCCACTGGTGTTCTTTCCACTTTATACGAAAGCAAGTAGCCATGCTTTGGTTGTGTGTTTGGCCTTTTCAGTATTAGACAATCATTCTACAAGAGCTTTTCCTCTTTCTGAGATGTCATGCAACATTGTTGATGTCCAGTTCTATGTCATCAGGACACAAGGAGAATAAGAGATGGGGTTTATTAAAGCGAGCAAAGTCTGCATTTTACCTGGTGCGCATGAATGGGGTCTTTAAGAGTTTTGGTGGCTCTCCCACGTTTCCTATTACCCTGAGCCTTCCTATCACATTATAAATAATAGTTCATCTAAAGAGCCACTTTTCTTTTAATATCAGTAACATTTGCCTATATAAGTTTTCATTTATTTGTGTTTTATTTATTACAGGGCTGCTATTTTCATAATGTACATGAACAATGTCACAGAACTTTTTTAATTTTTTGAATAATTATCAGTAAAGGAATTGAAAGACAGGATTGCATTTAATAGATAAAACGTTTAGGCAATAATTGAACAAAAGAATCCTGGCATATTTCTAACACTAATGGCAATTTACCTTTGGTATTTATTTTCAGTAGTCAAGACCCAGCTTGAATGTAAATTTTGTATAGTGTAAGTATGAAGAACATAGTGCAACTGTACAGGTAGTCACCAGTTATTGTGATATAATAAATAATTGGGCTATTTTGATGAAGAAAACTTTGTTCATTTGTTTCTACTTTCTAATAGAGAAATTGCCACGATTCCTCTGCTTTTCAACATTTCGTATGACTTTTTTTTCGGGTGGGAATAAAAAGCTGTGAAATTGTTCAACCTACTTTGTAACCAAAGAAGCAAAGCTGTGTAATGGAGTTTTTTTTTTTTTTTTTTTTTATAATGCACATTCTTTATGTATTTTTATTTAGTGTTTTCTTGGTCACAATTTTCTTTGCTGTCTAGCATGATCTGCATGACCTATAATCTTTGAACCACTTTCGTACCTCATGTTTTTAATCCAGCACTCTTATGTAATATGTACTAGTCTGTGAACAATGTCAAATAAAGAACGAACAGGTAGTATGGTGGAGCTGAGCTAGTGTACAATACACTAGTTGTAAAAAAAAAAAAAAATGAAGTGAGCCATCTTTTGTTCATTTAAAATGGTGTTTTGAATTTCGTATGCAGAAAACGTTTTGTTACATTGCAGATTTTAATGTATTTAATAAATGCAACATGCAGATTAAGTGCAGTGTATACTGAGTATTTAAATTAAAATGTACATTTCATAAATACAGTTTCAAGAGAAAGCATCATTTTGTGTATACTAACACATTAAGTGTATGTCAGAAATTGATGTATAAATATATATTTTAACACATTTTCTGAAATTAAACTGCAGTTTTGTTGAAATGTTTGGCTCCATATGTGTTCAAAATTTGACTAGATTTGTATTTTCACAGTTCAAAATATTCCTTAAATGAAAAGCTATGTTATTAATGACTTAATGATAGTTCTTAAATTTTCAAAGTAAAATAATTTAAAGAATGCAAAAATAGTGAGCAATATTTGTACTCAATATTTATGTTAATGACACTTAAATAGGAAATCCTTGTCTACCAAAACTTTTACTTGAATTCAGAAAGGTGCCTGTAGAAATTAACAGGTGCTGTGTCTGTAGCCAGCTAGCTAATCAGGAGTTAATGAGTACCATTAGTTCTCCAGGTTAAAGAGGATAAATGTTCTTTATTTGAAATAAAAACTTAATTAGATTAGCCACAAATAAGCATAAAATGTACACGGGCTTACCAAATATCTTATATTCTGGTTGTGCTGCAGGATATATTGTTCAGTGAACAAAATTTTAATATTAACATTACAAATAAAGGAACTGAAGTACACAGGCTGGAGTAAACAACCCTTAGGATGTGGAGTAAGATTCTAAGTAGAGCCACCACAGGTGATATAGAATGTGCAACTTGGCTGTTGGAATGTTAACCAAAAGGTTTGCTGGATGTGGCCCCCTCCAGTGCTAGTAGTGTTAATAGAGGCAGGAAAAAACAAGTATTAGAAAATGGTTTGGATTATTGTGAAAATAGAGAAATTTTTGTTTCTGGGGATAGTAAAACAATTTATGAACATACAGTAATAGTACTGTCCAAGGAAATGAATAATATGTTTAAGTTTAAAATGGTAACTAATAGCAATTATTACTGTTTTTACATTTAAAAAAAATAGAAAAGGAGAGAAAACAGATAGTTCAAAGAAATGGCAGTTTCTCAAGGTTTAACCTCTAGTAACCTAAGAAATGCAAATTAATATTTTAATGAATTCTTATAAGTGTATTTTAAATAGCAGGACTTAAAGTAGGAAGGCAAGCTTCCTGTGTATTTCTAGAAAGTAATTTGGCAATATATATCCAGAGCCTTAAATATTACGAAGCTTTTCAGTGCAGTGACATGAGAAGATACTCAACTCATGGTGCAATGTTCAAAAATGCAAATTTATTGTAGTGCCTGTCCTCTCCTCTCCCATCATCCCCCTTTTCCCTCAGAACCCAAACTATGCCCCCTACCACCACCACAAAGAAAAGCTGTGAAAGGAAGCCTTTACATCCAAACCTATTCCTGTGAGGTGCACCCACATTCCAAAATCAGGAACAAACTTGAGGAAGGAAAAGCTGTTAGACTTTTCTGCCTCAGATATATTGTGTTTGCAAATACCAAGCATTCCCCCAATTGATTGTTTAGAATCTTAAGTAACTTTCAGTTTAACCTTGGAGACTTTGGGTCTCCTCCAAATATTAATGGAATAATAACTCCCAATTTGGGGGCACAGTCTTATAGGAATGCCATCTTTAATTTTATTCAGAGCAATGCCCATAGACCAAGGTGCCACCTAAGCACTGGAAAGTTTAGCCAACCAGTTAATCAGAAGTAGAATTTTTTCTGATATGGTCATTATCTGCAATTCAAACCTAACTTGCCCCAAAGAAAATGTATTTTAGGTCCAATATGATCTCACAGCTTGCCACAGCAAAAATAAATAGTAAGGGATAGGAGGCATTAAATACAATTGTATGTTCAAAATGGCTAGATTTTTCCAATTCTGTTTGTAATGTTCTAAGCTAAGTATGGAGATAAAGTGTCTTCAGTGTAACCATAATACCTCTGTTCTTCAGGGAAATTTATCTTTGAAGAACCAGAAACAAACTATTAGCTAATTTTCTGGAAACAAATTTTTAACACATTAACTGCCATATGAGTTGTATTTAACTCATGCTAGTTTTGAGGCTGGGGCCTGGTGAAGCCTGTGTAACTCACATGTCTCTTTACCCTGGGAGCCACATGAGCTGTTTTTCAAGTTGCATATAACTCATGTACAGAAAACCACAAATTTTTCATTAACGTAAAAAGGATCATTTTATTTTTGAAGTTTTTATTCCATTTTCTTAATAAAACACTATGGCCCCAAGGAAAAAATTGTTTTTCTAGTGTGGCAGTCAATGTGTTCAGATGATCCATAGTCATTTTTAAAGAAAGCTTTATAGCTCAGTGGCTGGCATGTTGTGATGTGACTCGATTCTCTTTAATAATCCTGTTAAAAGGACAAAACCCAGCCCTCAAATTCACAACTTATGGATGTGAAGGCGATCTGGCTGCGACATCTGTCCTGCTCCATTGATCGCCATAGTTGATTCCGATGCTTCTGGCTGGCTTGGTGGGTGCCCCCTTCCTCACCGCTCCATGTGCATCTTTCTGAAGCTGTGCTTGGTTGAAGAGGACGACCTTACCCCCATAGAGGAGGACCATTCTTCAGTCAAGAGTATAGGAGCAGCTGCACTCCCCTGCTAGAACTTCCAAACAAGCTCTCTCAAGAGTCACAGTTTAGATGAGGCGATAGACAAACTGTAGAATGCAACAAGAAACCTTTTTATGAACAAAGATGGCTTTGTCAGGGTAGGTTTCTTCAGAGGTGACACCTGAGTCTTGAAGGTTACAACAAGAGCCAAGGGGAAGGACATACCAGGCACAAGAAAATAGTGCTCAAAGACAAAGGAGTGCATAAACAAGGTTCCTAGGGTAGCCACAGAATTTCACTGGACACAGGCAAGCAATGACTGTCCCACCGACCTTAGTAGTTGGCATTTAGTCAGAAAGCAAGAATGATTTGTTGAATAATATTAAGCAGTGGGATATTGTGCTCAAATTGTGCTGGATATTGTGCACAATTCCCGGGGCAGATGGAAGATTGATTAGGGTGATTGAAACTGGAAACTGAGAAATAATGTATGAGGGACAAGTTTGGTTTTTGGTTTTTTGGGTTTTTTTTTTTTGGAAGGGTGAACAGAAAATCATAATTTATCTAAATAGAATAATAGAAATAAAAACTTTAAAACAATCACAAAATTTACAAATGAATAGGAGATTATAAATCTACAACATTTGAATTACAAAATGCATTCATTATGACAATCAGCTCAAGAGACCTATACATGTCATTTGTGCTTTAGGTTTTTTTATCCAAAAAATAAATGATAGAAAGGCAAAGTAACAGGCAATTTTTTGAAGCTCATGAAGAAACTTACCTTCGGTCTTTCTGTACCATTTCCCCCTCCACAATGAACATTCCATTCCCAACATCAGGTGCACTGTTTTCTCCCCTCCACCCCAGGAAAGATCAAAGAGCCCCACCTAATTCTTGAAAGTTTGGGTTCTTTTCTTTCAACAGTCATATATATCTCTATGAAATGAAAGTCTTTGTTTCCTACTAAAGGAATTTCAAGAATTTAACAAAAGTGTGGGGGGAATAGAGGAACCTTTGCTGTCACCTTCTTTCTGCCTCCATTATCAATTCAGCTCTAAAGGTAAACTAAATTTAATCCTTTTATGGTGACTAGGATTAACATGATTCTAAAGCCTTTCCCTAACTATCACCTTGCTTGCTGGAAAAGATCATATGGATTCTGGCCCCATGGCAGGTACTGACAGCCCAAGTCAGAATAGTTTTGCTAGGCGTTAGCCTTCCATTCTGTGACATAGATCAATCCAGCAGAGTTCTTTTCTTCTCTAAGTCCCTTGCCTATGCAAAACTGGATCATTTCTCCCACCTCCATCTGCCTCAAGCCTCCTAATAATTTATATTTCTTTCTAACAATAAATAATCTATTACTAAGTGATGTATATTTGCACTTTACCCCTTTTCATCATTCCAGAATACATACCTGTCTCATATATTTCTATACCAGGTCACAGGATTTCTATAGCAAGATCTCTTTAAATACATGGATTCCCTTTGTAGGTGGAAGGATTACTTACTAATACAGTGTTATTGTAACTATTTTGTTTGTGGGGTACAATGACATGCTGTATGACATGCTGTGTTCACAGATGAAAAATGCTAAGGGAGGAACTATACAAAGCAAGTTAAAGTTCACATTGTTGTTGTTTTTAATGGAATCATCAAATAAGAAAAATGAGACAGACTTTCAGGACTGGTGATGGCAAGCTAAAAAGTTGGTATTTTGCACTGGCACAGTCCACTTGGTCATTGACTTTCTTCAACATACCTGGATGGTGAGTTAGCTTTATTTTTCCTTCTCTCCAGGGAAACTGATAGATTAAGGCAGTCTGGGGAATTTTCCCCCATCTATGTCATGGGACCAGAGTATCTAAGTTCAAAAACTAAAACATAGTCCACAGGAGCATATTTATAACTTTCAAGGAGGGAGGAAAAGGTCTGCTAATTTAGATCATAAATATAACTGAATTTTAAAACAGGGCAAATGCCGTGGTTTAACGTTGCCATAAAAAAAGTTGAGGTCATCTTTTGCATGCCTGTGATATTTCCATATAATAACTGTAAATTACTCTTGCCTGCTGCAACCCAAAATGTTTTTTCAGATTACAGTTCTTGCCATCATTTCACAGGCAAGCAATATATCTATAGATAAATCATATCTGAGGAAGTCCACTGACAGCAAGGCAACATTTTCCCCACCCTTGGGGTTGAAATAATATCAGGTCAGTGTCTAATTCTAGTTTTCCTTCTAAAAAGTAATAAATACATATATCACTTGATCAGGTGGCAGACTTGCATGGACAGAAAAAGATAAATACATGTAACTTTGTAAAGTCACAAAAGTGAAGCTTTCAGGAAATTTGGGTTTTATTTTTTATCTTATAGAAACAATATTGAAATGCAATTTAATTCTATTTCAATTTAGGTGTTGCATCTTGTAGTAGGTGTTTGGGGATAGAAAGGTGAATGGGACATGATTTGTGTGCACCAGGAGCTCATAGTTGAATGTAAATGTAGAAGCTAAAGTGCCATATTGTGTATTCAGAGTATATGTCACAGTTTATGAATCTCATATCATTAGTAAAATGGACGGTTCATATATATCAAAAGTA